AAAAAAAAACCAAACCAAAAATGAACCAGAATTTGAGAAATAGACTGAAGTTATCGGAGTGCTTAGTTTTAGCACAAGAAGGCTTCAGTGCTGGGAGCGTACTGGAGTGCTAAATGTGCTGGAGCTGTGTTTACTTCTGCATTTGGAGGCATTACATCAGTGTCGTGTTTTGTGCCGTGTAATACAAAAATGTCCCAGGTGTCTGAAAGACCTGGAGTATGGCTGACTGTGTTTTGCATTTGGAAGCCGAAAGTAACACCTTTTTTAACCAGTGTTTGTTAGTGACCTCAGGTAGCTGGTGTCTACAAAAATTTCAGAGTCAGGCTCAAGAGTTTAAATTTGAGTGAAGATCTAGCCAGACTTTTCATATGAACCAAACAAAGCCTTTTCAAGAGTAAGTCAGTGATTGTATTAATCCTGGACTTGTATCATCATGTGTCAGTTCTCATTTTGGGGCAAGAGGAATGCCTTTTGTTCTAAAAGTGGCTGTTAAGTCAAGGATGGGATGCACTTAAACAGGCAGTGGAGGAGGTGTTTCTGTTTTGAAGTCACTCTAATTTTTTTAATCCTGTAAATTGTATTTACCTGATGATAAATCGTTGTGAAGCTTGGGAGAAGTCTAATTTGGGTTGATTAACAGTAATACATAGGGAAGCAGGGTAGTCTGTGTAGAATGACTTACCTCCTGAGAGTAACAGGAGCACAGGAATGTGTCAGGTGGGCTGTAGGTGCCAAACCTTGCTGGAACTGTATATTCTGCCTGCTTTTTTTTCTGTCTGCTTTCCTCCCTGCTTTTATTGCGCTTCTCTTCACTGGAACAAGAGGCAAATAATGTTTTTGGTTTGTTTTCAGTGATTTAACGGCTGTAGGAATTTAAGACAAAGAATGAGTAATAACACCACAAGGTGATAAGCTTGGAAAATAAGTGACTGATCAAGCTTCTCTTTAATTCTTCCATTTGTCACGAAAGGAGGCTTTGGTAATTAATGATTTAAGTCAGCAGCTAAGAAAAATGTGTATATTTACATTTTGTTGTTGTTTGGAATGTGCACTTGACAGCTATTTTTCTAGAAAGGAGTTGTATTTGGCTAGTTAATAATTAAAATGTGAAGTGTCTGTTTAATTAGATGTAGTTGTTTTACAAGATAGGAGGCCACTATTTGATGACTAAGAGGATATTTTAAATGTATGCATGTATTAAGCTTTTACCTGTAGGGCAACTTAATCAGTATTCTAAAATGTATTTTGTTATGTGGTTTTCAGTTAGAAACTATCACGAAGCTGCTGGGTGGAAGTTGCAGTCTAACTGAGGTGCAGGAGTTCACCATTGTTTTTCGGCAGTTACCTGTTGACAGTGAATATTCTGTTCTAATTGATGTATCAGTCAGATTTATTTGAAGCAAGTAGTTGTTATTCTTTCTTGCTTCATTTTTCTTGACAGGTTTGAAGAGGAGTGTATACTTACCTCCTTCTGTTCTCACTTTTGCGAGACAAGTATCTGTAATGGCTTTTTTCCCTGTCATAGCTACTTGTCTCTTCTAATCTGATTATTATGATTTGAGGTGATTTCTTGACAGCAACTGTAGGTTTATGTTGCTGATGGGTCTGTTGCAAAATAACTTTCAAACATTGTTCAAAATATCCCTGCTTACTGCCGGAGGGTTGATCAAGATGATCTTTAATGGTCCCTTCCAGCTCAATGCATTCTATTGTTCCTAAAAATTTGTCTTAAGCAGACTTTTTCAGCATTATTTCAGTGTGTATGGAGACAGGAAACACTTCACATTGCTGTCCTTCCTCTGTTAAAATGAAGTGACTTCTTTGAAAAGGACGAACAAGGGTGTATGTGGAAAACGTTCCTTATTCTGTCAAGTATGATGACCCCTGATATTTCAGGATTGAATCATGTTCAAACACATTAGGGATGGTAGACATGATTCTCTAGTCTGTTGGTGTCAGATTGCCATTAAAGCTGATGAAGTTTGATGTGGCCACGACATTCTAAACACTATATTTTTTTCTTTCCTGCAAACATTCTGGTTTAAACATTCATGCAAATAAGAACTGATTACTTTGCTAAACAGTTACTTGGTGAAGGTTTATATTTGAAATACAAGAATGTCTCATGATTTCAGAAGAGGGGAGTTGGATTTCGTTGAAGGTGATTTTTAGCTCTGCCTTTACTCATGGTGGTAAGCTGTTTTTCGGAAGTGGCCAGAGGTTGTGCACCATAGCCGCCTCGTTGGTTGTATTCATCATTTGTCATGAGCAAAGAAGGTACGGTCTGAGCTTGCTTTTTGTTACTTCATTGAAGAAGTTTCAAAGCACTGGTTGAAGGACTACAAATCTGACTTGAATGGGTCAGGTGCTTGTATGTGAAGCGTGCACTGTACTGACTGTAGTGAGAAACTAATGAAAACATGAGTTAATAAGGTACTGCTCATGTTTCATAAGGGTTTTATGTGGTGCTTATTGAAGCCAAGGAAGAAATGGAGGGAATTTTGTGGTATAAATTGTAGTTCTTTTATGATGTCAAGATGTCTTGTCATGCTCTTTTTGACACACTGGAAGAATATGTACCAGGTGACTGCCAGACATGCAGCCCAGTGTTCCATCTTCGATCTAGTTCTTGCTGCTTCTGTTAAGATTTGGTGCAGGTAGCTCAAAATAGGGCTGCATGGTATATTTTTATTATATTTGAAGCCAGATCTGCGGGCAGATTCACAGTGTGCTGGTGTTGAGTGTGCACTTGAAAGGTACTTAATTTCCATCCTTTGCCCCTTGCCCTCTCCTGTCCTTTTGAGAGCCCCACAAGGTACAATTTTTTCCAGGTAGATAGAATTGCTAAGACCGGTAGCAAACCAGTTACTTGTTTTATGATGCAGTGACTTTTAGCCTGGCCTAGCACATAGACCGTTCCGTTTCATGTTTCCTTTGTGGTGGGCAGGATTAAGTTTGATGGTATCCTGTTTTCTCTGCTTTCTGTGCTGTAATTGCTGTCTGTAGCATCTTAAAGCTTGATTTACAATTGGATCAGATATTCCTTTTGCTGCTTTGAGTTTATGGATTATACCTGCATCAGATCAAATTAATCATCAAGAAAGGGAAATAACCCTAGGTGTTGCCAAAACGAACAGCTGATACTGAACTGTAAGAATGCGAGGGAGCTTTGGGAATGTGGACATGCAAAATTATTTCAGTGTCAGAAAATGAGTAAATGAGAAGTAGGTTGGGAAAGCCATTAACGTAAGGTTTTTGAGAATATACTTTACACCACAGTTTCTATGAAGATTGGGACTTGAGGATGAGTAATGGAGAATGACCAATGTTAAGAACTTAATACGTACTTTTGGGAAACTTGCCACAAAGAAATATGAAGATCTGTGCTAGCTGTGCATAAATATAGTGGAAACACACAGCTGTGAAAATACAGGCAGGAAATTGCATTCAATCTGGACAGTGTCATAATGTGTTAATCGGGAAAGAAGACGACTCGGACAATGGATAGTTGTTGATGAAGTTGCATTTTTCCTCTTATGTTATGTCTCTTAGAAGACTCCTACACATACACATATATGTATGTGTATATGTATGTATGTGTGTATCCATCACTCTGCAAAGTGATTCATTATGTGCCAAAGCGTGCAAATATATTTGTATTTAAACAAGCAGGAGGACTATATTTCCAACAGCGGTAAACTTTTAAGCCAATAACACTAAGATGTGTATAAAACTTGTGAATAATCTGCCAAGATAATAGATATTTCTGTACGTTGGCGTATTTGAAAAGAGATGATGGAAGAGTTGGTTGTAAGTAAAAGCCTAAGTGTCAGACTGGTACAGAGCACATGAATACATCTTTGGAAGACTTGATTTTGCACATGTAGCATGTACAATGGAAGAATCGCTATTGAGAGATGGTTTTGATTAATAGCTTACATAAATGACTTGATTTAGCTGTTAAGTCTAGACGTCTCAGTCTGTTCTTTTTGTGCAGTATCACTTTATTAAGAAAGTCTGGTATTGATAGCTTTTTCACAAGTGCAGCAGTTGCATACCTTGCTTTCTGACTATTGCAGGTGCCTTTGCTTGCAAGATGGTACCGTTTGTTCAATCCACTGCTATTGTAACTGAGATTCTTACCATGACCTGCATTGCTGTGGAGAGACACCAGGGGATTGTGCATCCGCTGAAAATGAAGTGGCAGTACACCAATAAAAGAGCCTTCACAATGCTTGGTAAGATTTTATCCATCTCTGGTAATTGTGTGTATAGAGAAATAATATTGAGCATAGTTGGTGTAGATTGCATGAGAGAACAGAAGGCATTGATACGACTCATATTCAGAGGTAGAGTTACTAGTTCTGGTAACATTTGTTAAATATTTGAAGGATAATGCCTGTTATGTGTTGTAATTACTACTTGAAGCCCTGATAGTAAACTTAAAATCTAAAGTGAAAGATATACTTAACCAAGATTCCCATAAACCTTTGGTTTTCTTTTAAGAAAGCTTCAAAATATTAAAGTACTGCTGTAGTAATATCACAGCTGTAAATGGTCCTTCCACTGTTACACAAAAAGAACATACGTAATGCTGCTTATGCAAATTAAGTTGCCATTACACTTGAATACCAGTAAATGAAGGTTGTTTGAGAAGGAAAAGTGATAACAAAGGAACATGCTTTTATTGAGGTGAATATTGACTGATGCATGCTTCAAAAAAAACCTGTATTCTTTTTCTACTTTGTCTGACTTGTAAAAGATGAAGGTTTTAAACTGTTCGTACTAAGACTTGCTCTGCTTATTGTATGAAATATTAAAAGAATGTATTTGTTTATAGGGATAGTCTGGTTGCTGGCACTTATGGTTGGGTCACCTATGTGGCACGTGCAACGGCTTGAGGTATGTCACGTGAAATGAGAATTTACATTTTAAGCTCAGTTATTGCTTCATCGTTTTGTACCTTTAGTAATGAAATTGAGTAAACTCCATTTCAAATGAGAGTGGGATAAGAGAAGCAGAGTTGTTCTGTGCGTCAACAGTAGTTACGTCTGTAACTTCCACTGAGGCTTCGTTTTGGTTTATGGGTGCACTGGCACACAGCAGTGTAGGGCTTACATGACCGTTTCAGGATGAAATAGGGCTCCTCAAGATTTCGAAGAACTATTCCTGCTTGAAAATGTAATTAGCTGCCTGTTATACCTTGGGAAGATACAGTTTTTGAGAATGAAAACATGCCTGTCAGAATCTGCTACTTATAAGTCTGAATGTTAACAAATGTTACTTTTCTCAAATTACTAATGTGTGAAGTTTCTGTACGCCTATCTTTGCTTGCAAGATAGATAACCAAGGTCTCTTTTGAAAATCCTCGTTTAAAAAAACCTAAACTTTGAGACGAGTGCAAGTCAGAGCGTTTACTAATCTCTCTCTGTCAGCTTGGATCAAGCCAGCACTTGATGCGGACAAATACTTGGAAGAATTTTGTCATTTTGAAAAAAACCTTTGTTGAGTTTTGGTTGTTGTATTAAGAGCAAGGAATATTTGAATGTGCTTAGTTTTTATAGTTGAGGTAAACACCCTCGTGATTCATCTTGTTTACACTTGTTACAGGTTAAATATGACTTTCTGTACGAAAAGGTCTATGTTTGTTGCTTGGAAGAATGGACCAGTCCAGTACATCAGAAGATATATACAACCTTTATTCTTGTTATACTCTTCCTTCTTCCACTGATGTTGATGCTTTTTTTGTACACTAAAATTGGCTATGAACTCTGGATTAAGAAACGAGTGGGAGATGCTTCTGTTCTTCAAACCATTCATGGGAGTGAAATGTCTAAAATATCAAGGTTTGTACAGTAAAATACAATCGGAACTTTGACTTTCAGAAAGCTTTTCTTTTCTGCCAGTTTTTGAAAACCGGTGCCAAAAAGAAAATTTTCTTTCCTTGTCTGTTGGCAAGTCTACAAGCATATATCAGATTTTTAAAGCTAGCTAGTGTAACAGTTATGTACCCAATTTAAGACAACTTGGCAAGATTGTTTTCTTCCAAGTATCGTGTAGCCACACCTTAGAAACCAAGCCCTCTCTGTAAATCACATTACATATTGTGAAATGCTTGTTTGTGAAAGATGTATGCCATGAGTTAGAAGATGATTTTGGGAAAATTTATTTCTATATGTTCTATGAAAAGTTTTTTATATAATTTTAAGACTGTGAACACTTGTTTATGATCCTATTATAAACTGAATTAACATAGGGGAAAAAATGAGAAACAATTTAAAACTATTTTGATACAGTTTAACTTGATATAGCTTCTGAAGATTTTCGATGTGTTTGTGTGAGATTATCCAGATGATAATGCTCTATCTGAGCAGTTAAAAAACCCCAAAACTATGAACTTTGCTGTTTGGCACTAAATATGGGCTACCCTTAATATTGCCTCATGTTTTTTTCCTTTTGTTTGGCAAATTGATCTGTTGCTTGATGCGCTATAAACATGTAACAGTTCTGTGTGTTGAGGAGTATCACCTTAAGTATCAACTGTAAGAACACTGACAACCAGCTTAAAGATAAACGATTCGTTGGTTAATTTTGTAACGAAGTTCATAAGGAAGCAGGCCCTTTTAAGTTAAATCTGAAAGATTGTAGAGGTTAAGGTACGTGTAATCTTTGGGCTTCTCCTCAGTTGATTTTCACAAAGTAGGGAGACAAGACCCTGTAACTGCTACTAGTGAAATGCTGCCTTTTTAGGTGAAGCGAGATACCCATCTTGGAATCTATAAATGTAGTTTTATGATTTGATGTATTAATTTGGGGATGATGATAAATTCAGGTATACCTTGAGTTTGTGAGGTGTTGGAATGGAGGCAGGGAGTGTGTGTTTTGCTCCTCTTCTAGCATTTCAGGTACCAGGAAAGTTGTAATGTTGCAGGTGTAGTTTACTTAACTCTGTCAAATTCTTTGTTTAATCAGGTACTGAAGGTATGGTCAGTACTCTCAGATCTAGGAAAGGACTCTGTTGGGGTTTTTTGTTCCGTTTTTGTGTTATTCATGTGGCTTTTTTCCACACCATCTATTACTACTGGAATTACCTCTGCTTCAACAGAGGGAAAATGCCTTGCAAGATATGCTAATGTTGTTCCTTGCTGCAGCTGACAAGTGCATTGCTTGCCCAGAAGAGAGGAAAAAGGTGTTAATTGATGTACTTAGATGGTGCTGCCTATTTTCTTTCTAAGGTAATTGTGTACTTCTGAGTATTCTTCCAAGGTTTTATTTGCATCTGTAACCATCAGAACACATTTACAGATCTAACTTGTCTAACTACCAGCCAGTTCTTAGTGATTTAGTATGGAATGTCTTGATGCACTTTCAGGAAGAAGAAGCGAGCAATTGTTATGATGGTGACAGTCGTGTTTCTCTTTGCAGTCTGTTGGGCCCCTTTCCATGTGATTCACATGATGATGGAATACAGTGAGTATTGCCACATGTCATATAGTAAAGCCTTTTTTGGTTTTTTTTTTGTGTGTTATAATGGAAATACAGGTTGTGAAAAGCTAATGCTGCTGTAGCCTTCAGCTGTAGGATACCTTTTGCTAGCAAAGGTTAATGTTATGCTTATAAATCCTGGATCGCTGTCTGATCATGAGAGATACAGCCAACGACAGATGAATTACTCTGAAGATTACGAGTGATAGACCGATCTGCAGACCTTTTGGAAAATTGGTAGTTTTCAGCAAACCTAATATAGGGTGCTGGTTAGCTCAGTCAGCTGAGTGTGGCGCTGAGAATGCCAAGGTTGTGGGTTCAATTCCTGCTCGGTCCCCATGTGTTGCCTGATCTAGTCGAGAGGTGGCGTCCCTGGCGACAGGGAGCCTGGGTTAAAATGATCTCTGAGGTCCCTTCCAGCCTGGGCCATTCTATGATTCTGTAGAATCATTTAAGTTGTAAGGGACCTTTAATGGAGTGTTTGATAGATAACCTTATATTTGAGTGTAAGTTGTGTGCCAGCCACATCTTTTCTTCCCTGCTGTGTGATTTAAAAACCAGCCAAACAAAACCCAAGAAATAAGATAGTTTTGTGTGTTGCTGTAAACCTTGAAATTTGCAAGATGGATGGAGGGAAGGAACACAAGCTCTGTCTGCTCTTTTAGAATGTAAGCTCTTTAGAAAGCGGATTGTCATTGTTTCTGAATTTGTACAGCACATCCCATTCTGAAAAGGAAGTTTACTAGGCCTTGCAAGACTTAGGAAACAACAAGACTTGACTGTTAGGATGGTGAGCATGTCTTTGTAGATTCTTATGTCGATCATGCTACCCTTATTTACTGAAAGGTCGGAAGTACTTGGCTGGAATGTAAAAGTTACTTCCAAGTATAAAACCTCCTGAGCAAGTAACTTTTATTTAAAATTTAATGTGTAAAGATTTGTATTTGCATCCACTCAAGTTGTACTACTTTGAGTTAAACTGTTATGAAATATTTATCCCTTCACTTGCCCTGGTCTTAATATTGGAAATAAAAATATTAGACACTATAGTGATAATACCCAACAAATCCAATTCAACTTTTTCAGTGATTTAGACTTTATACTAGGTTGGAAATGCCCTCAATGCTTGCTAACTGTTTTTGCTATTTGTTCTATTTTCTGAGCTCTTGCACTGTTGGTTTTTTGCTTTCCTGCAGCAGGCAGTGTGCTGTTGTACTTTATTTGCCAAAGGCAGCAGCTTTTTCTTTGTCTTCTATCACCGATAAGATTGTAGCAGATAAATCAGTAGTCCAGCAGCCAGTCAGCTGAACCAAATGATCTTTGTGCCTGGGCAGAATCGAAAGTACAGAAGCTGTAATTATTCAAATTACCTGTCTTTGTCCAGTGTTAAAGTTGTCCGACTCTGAACTGTTTGCTAATTTCAGGAATTGATTCAGGTGCTGCAAGACCTTTATTTTACTTGCCTTGTAAAGCTCTGAAGTATTTATCCAGAGTTTGATCACTGAGTATTTCAATTCAAAGAATTCCAAGTTCTGTGTGATCTCGGTGATTTAAGAGTGAGAGATGTGACCAAGATGCGTTTTTACCTCCATGAGCTGATCTGTGTCAGCACTGAGAAGGAAGCCGCGTGTGGTCAGTGACAAGACAGGGGTTAGTATTCAAGTACTTAGACATTTGGTACAGACAATAAGTCTGAGTCAGAACAACTTGAATAAACAAGGCCTATACTGAGCATGCAGGAAGCTTTCTTCTGTTTGGTCATTAGGCAAGTTTTTTGGCTCATAAATTGCCTCTTTGAAATGACTCTGTCCTTAGTTACGATATACAGAAAGCAAAGCTATGTGGTTCTTGATGTTTTGGTGCTAATGAAAACACTCTTGCTAATACAGAGAACCTCCAGCAAGGTTTTTTGCTGACTTTTTTTTTTAAATAAAAATTCTAATGTGAAGCTGGTTATAAATAGGCTACATAGTAGGTTTTTATGCCATTCTATACATACAGCATATTGCCTTTTTCCTTTCCAGGTAATTTTGAAAAGGAGTATGATGATGTGACGATCAAAATGATCTTTGCAATAGTCCAGATCATTGGATTCTTCAATTCTATTTGCAACCCTATCGTGTATGCTTTCATGAATGAAAACTTCAAGAAAAATTTTTTGTCTGCCATCTGCTTCTGCGTTGTCAAAGAAAATACATCACCAGCCAGACAACTTGGGAACTCGGGGATTACTATGAGGAGGCAAAAGGCAAGTGTTTCTCAAAGAGATCCCATTGACTCTGAGGAAGCCAGGAGGGAGGCATTCAGTGATGGCAACATTGAAGTCAAGTTCTGTGATCAGCCAGCTTCAAAAAGGAATTTGAAAAGACATCTTGCCTTATTCAGCGCTGAGCTTACTGTGCATTCTGCATTAGGAAATGGACAGTAGCATCACAAGAGGTTGGAGAACGAAAAAAGTGTTCTCTTGATATAACTTTCAGTAAGCCATTTAAAACCATTTTACACTTTGCCTGCTGAAATGAGGAGAAGAATATTTCATGAGTTATAATATTGGGGTAATGGATGAGAAAATGTAGTATATTGTATAAAGATGCATAAAATTTTGGCAAACAGTGTTACTGTATGATTTCCAGGAAATAAAACAATGTTTTCCTGCCTAAGCTAATTTAGGGCTTGTTTGCCCTCTGCTTTAGGTGAAACAAAAAGCTGTTGCTTGCTCTGTTTATTTTGTGTCTGGATGCTGGCACACAACTAGACCATACACAGCTGAATGATGGGAGACAGGAGCTGTGGATAGGGTGCACTTTATTTTGACAACATGGATATTGGCCATGAGTCTAACATTGTAAGATCTCTCTGCAGCTCTGAGGAGCTTCAGGCCTGAATCCAGCAAAAGCGCAGACTCTATATGGAAATCTGTTTTGAAAAGAAGAGTATATGAAAGAGCCAGCCAGAGTTTGACTTTGAAGACATTAAGACTGAAACATTCATGCACGTTCAGATTTTGTTAACAGGAAGCATATTAAAAAATAACAATGCATGCATGTTTTTACAATGTGCTGTTTTTACAGGTTTATTCTTGGGTACAAATTCAAATGCCAGTGTACTGCCTGATAAACTACTCTTTGTTCTGCTTAAAAATGTCAAAGCTGAGAAAGTGGTGTACGGGAGTGTGCAGATGCTGGAGGTATAGTCTGTGGAGTAAGCACTGAATTTGCCTTAGTGATGCTTGGATATGTGACTTGCAGGTTGAAAGTGCGGTGTTGCCATTTTCTGGAGGGATACATGAGCCAGATCCAGAGCCTGTTGGGACTCTGCAGAAGACTTTCAATGGAATATCATGGTGTTCTGACCAGATGCTTTTCTAAAGATATGCCTAGATTCTTTTGTCTCCCTATCATCTTCCAAGTGGATTAATTACTGTCTAAGAACATGGCCAATGTTTTGTTACTTTTAGTATTCACAGGAAATTATGGGGATGAAATCATATAAACTGTAAGCATTTTTTGCTCTTGGTGGGTCTGATTGAAAAACTGCAGGAGGATGCCTACAAGTGTAGCACTGGGACAAAACTGATCTAGAATGGTACAGGATGAAATGAATCCCATAAGTGAGGCTTGGAAATACAGAATTTGCAACTCCAGCTGACATTAGGTGGGATCTTTTAATAGCTTGTTAAATGTTGGTGCTCTCTTCTGTCATCCTTTGACTCACTTAAGAGACCTTATTGCTCCCTTAGCAGCAAATTTTAGAATTTTTTTTTTAGATTGCTACTTTACACTTGACTGTAAATGAAAACTTAGTTAAATCAACCTTGCATAAATTGGAAGTTATCTGATCCTCCTTTAATGTTTACAGATTTCCATTGGATAAGACATTCCAGTGCAAAACGTGCTGGCTTGTGACATACTATTTATTTACATATATATTTATATCGTATATGATATCTTCCCATGCCATGACAGAGGAAGATTCTTGAATTGTCCTGTCAGCCAGGAATTAAGAGCACTCCTGTTTACACAAGCCTATGCATGAGATAAAATAACAATTCTGTGGAGGTACGCCTGAGTAAAAGAACATGAGTGAGGTCAAGTTCTGCTTTACACAGTTGTGCAGACATAGCTCTGTGCATGACATTTGAATAATTCTGTAAGCAACAGCAACAGTTTTTTGCCTGCAATTATAAATGTCACTTTCTTTGGATATAATTTCTGCCTTTAGCTTGTTTTTCTTTCTGGGCAGAGGTCAGTCTCTAAGTAAAAGTTTTCTACTCTGGAGAACAGAGAAATGATGATTTATTATCATAGTTTTCCTCAGTTGGTGTTAAGTTCATCTGACTGATGATAATTGTGTTTTGACAGAATCTGTAACTGAAAAACGTTTATGCTATTTATTTATTTTCACTGTTAATTTCTGTGACAGATTTTGGCAAGTATTTAACTAACTGCGAAGTAGTTTATGTTTTTCTTTTGTCTTATCTGTTTCTTCTGTTGCCTCAAAATCTTAGGTCAATGAGGAAATGTTTCAGTATTAATTTTTTCATTAAAATTAGGTTTTGACTTTGCTGGTGCTATTTTGCATTGGGAGTATATCCTGTTAACTTCATTCTTTGAGTCTCCCTTTGTTTAAAGGTACATATAATCTTACATATGCTGCTTTAGGGATAAAATTTCCAGTCCTGTTACAGGTGCCAGCTATTACTGTAATCCTGAGAAATGTGATTAAAGATGTGACTTTAGAGAACAAAATAAGAGAGGGTGAAGAAGCCTTCCAGTCTCTTGGTAAGAGAGAAATGTTTTATGTTTCAGCACATTCAGATATATGTGTCTGTGGTTAGATTAAATGTAAACCAAACTATTCAAGAGAGTTCTCATGCTGTCCTTAATAATAACTACTATATTATTTATGTGGTTTTGACACAGTTGTTTTCTCACAGCCAGATAATCTTGTGAGCAGTCCTAGCAGGGAACAGAAGAACCTTTGCTGACCAACATCTTGCCCATGTTGGTGTTTTTTGTTTATTTGTTTGATTTATGTGGGTTTTTTTAAACTGTCAAGAGCTTCAGCTTTTATTTAACTAACAAAACAAATTGTTCTATTGAATTGTCTCAACTGTCAGTCCAGGAGTGTGTGACTGTGAATACTTGAAACTAGCAAAAAGCTAGCATTGCTGTGGAAAAGACAGCCTAGCTGTACTCTCAAGTTTGCCTGCTTATTCCTTACAAAAACAGAATTTCATGGTGGATAAATCAGAAAAAATTGTGGCTAATAGCTTTTTCAGGGAAGAGAACGGATAACCATGTGTATTTCCCTAAACTGAGAATATTTATTGAAACTAATGTCTTCTTTGAGGAAGAAAGCTTCCTCAAAAAGGTTTCTTTTTAATATCTTAGTTAGGAATCAGTTAAAATTTCTTTGAGTTGGATCAGATTAAAGAGGAACTTGTTTTATTCTCAGCTGTCAAGGTCTAAGCCTGAAAGTTAAGATGAGATGATGCCAGGAACTGATATGTGGATGAAGACAGGAAACTGGAAGGACACTTGCAGCTGAGCAGAGACTTGGGAAACTGGAATGAAACAGGAAAAAGTACCACATGTGTGGTCTTGCTCAACTGAAATAAGAGAGTATAGACAAGAAAAACAGTAAGTAGAAGGGAGTGAACCCTCTCAGTAACCATAATCATGTATCTGCTGCAGAATTCCTATTCTTTAGGAGACAGAGGAAGAAATAAATATATGTATATATACAAAGTGTGATTTTTATTTTTTTTTCCTGGCACAAATATTTTGTTATTTTGAGGGGGATTAATTTCAGAGGACATGAGATGGATTTGTTTGTAGGTATGGTTTTAAACTTTAGAAAGAGGTACTGGGCTGAAGTACTTTGTGATTAATAGAGAGGGGACTAAGCTTTTATTGATGAGGCTTGGTGATGTTAAGGGCCAACACAATAATGGAGGCACAACACTGTGTTTAGGTAAACACCTAAACCGAGAATTTACAGGTTCCCCTGTAGCATTGATAATTGTTTTCGTAAAACAAGTGTGATATTGAGTGATGGGAGCTTTTAGGTGCAGAACAGGACATGTCTGTTTGAAGTTTCATAGTTTCATTCCGTTTTGAAGTAGTCTTTGATGATTCCTTAGACAAGGATAACAAAGAATAGCACAGAAAACAGTGTGTCTCAGTCTGACAGTGTGTACTTAGAACATCTTCAGCCAAATTCCGAATAAAAACATAGCTCCAAAATCGATCAGTTAACTGTTTAAAACTTTGGGTTATGGTGAGCATTTTGAGGGGTACTGCGTAGTGTTAGCAACGTGAGTTCATGTAAAAATGTTGGCAATTCAGCTGTAAATGGACAAGTTGCTAAGCTGAGAGTACATATAGTGAAGCTATGTAATAAAAAACCTCCATTTTTTTCCCCCTAATAAGTTAGCAATAGCAACTCGGAGATGAGAACAGCCCTAAATGAGGCATGGGGGCGCAGATTTATATTTTTTTTTTTTTAGAGGTAGAAAATAGCCATTAAAAAATACTGAATATCAGCCTGTTCCAAGGAATAATGGAAAGCAGCCTTGCTCTGCGTCGTATGATTGCCGAGCCAGTAGAGACCTGTGATGTGCCTACATCAAGGGGTTAAGTAAATAAATTCTCAGGATAGCGATGATTTAGTCCTGCCTATATGTGGTTAGCTAATGTGTAATGAGTGTATAAGCTGCTTGCAGTCTTCGAGTAGGGTAGAAGCTAGTAAAACAAATGATCCAGTAGAGGGGAAGGGACATCTGAGGCATGAAGAAACATCAAGAGTGTTGAAAATGAAGACTAGAATGACTGCTCAGAAAAAGAAAACAGGAGTAAGTAAATGTAAGAATGTAGAGCTGGTGATGTAAAGAGATGGGGTGGGAAGATAATGATGGCAACCTATGTTTTTGTATAGATTAGTGATGATCTGAGTGTTAAGAAAAGTTGGGAAAGTTAATAAACTATTTAGAGAACAGTTTTGGGAGCGAGATAGCATCTAAATGCAGAACAAAAGGCTAGGAAGAATGAAAGCTGCACTTTTGCTGCTTCTTCAAGGGGAAGGGTGGAATGGAGCAGGAGCCCTGAGAGGACGAGGAGGAGACAGAGCATTGGGAGCACAGTCCAGTTGGGTCAGATTGACCTGATGAGAACAGAACAGCAGAAAGATGAGGATTAGAGCAATTTTTCTCTGCATCCTGGTTAGCAGATTAAATCTCAGGTTTGTTTTAAGGTTTTCAAAGCAGATTTTCCTTTATGTTGTAGACGAATTCTGATGAACAGCAGAGTTCTAAAGCTTGTGTTGTTCTGATAAATAGAGATGTAATGCAGAAACACAACAGGGGCTTAGGTTGCATATATTGCTCAAGAAACATTTACATAACATTTTTCTTTTTGCCTATACTGAAAATCCTTTTCCATGTGCTTTTGCACATGGAAACTGGCTTCCTGGAGTCTTATTGCAAAGTCGAGCAATTTGTTGAAGCTCCAGTGAAGTTTATGGATTACAAAGTTACTTTAAAAATCGATGGTGATGAGACATGAGAAAAAGTCCATGCTATTAGTATGTAATTATTTATTTAGTGCAAGTT